TAAAGTGAGAAATCACCACCACCACCCCAGGGGGGATGGCCATGCCACAATCCCTTCTCCACCATTCTCCTCTCGGGATCTTGGACACGCATGCACATATGCCCGGTGTGAATTTAAGCCTCTGGGTCCAGGACTTGAACCATGATCGACTACATGGGAGTCGAGCGACTTAGCTATTACACTAACTGCTGATCCCAGCCACAATATTCTCATAGTGAAGTGAGAATGATGATAAATCCAGTTTTTATATGACTGTGGCGTGAGTTAAACAAGAGCTCTGAGGAGGTCTGTCTTTGAACGACAGACTGCTAAAGAACCTTGGAGAGACTGTGAAGGCTCTGTGGACTCGCAGGCTCCCACAGAACACTCTAGTCTATTTTGAACACATGTGCATTGCTCTTTTTCAAGTATGTATAGATTCATTCAAGATCTACTCATCAAACAACTGTAATGAGCACTAACAAATAAGCAGCATCTAGCACAAAAATAAATGAAACGGAACCAGCAGGTGGTGTAGGGTTTAAAGTGCTGAATTCCCACATGGTGGACTGTGCTATGAGTCCCAGACCTAGCAACTTGCAAAACTTGCCAGGCGCATGTGCTTGCACGCCCAAAATCCCAAAAGGAGACTTAAGAAGGGATTACGGCATGGCCATCCCCTCAAGGGGCTGATTTATCACTTTTTGTTACTTTCTCTCCCTCTGTCTGGTAAGAGCACTTACCCTGTGACCAAAACAAACAAACCAAAACCCTAAAATAAATAAGCAAGTAAATAAATGGCACACAAATATCCATGTGTTCATAGATCTTATATTCTAGTATGGGTAGGAAAATAATAATAATATACAAGTATACAAGATAAATAAGATAAATAAGAGACCTATAACTATTGAGAGTAAAAGGAAAGAAGGGGAATATAAAATATGAAAGAAGCGGTGTTGAAACTTTAGATTGGGTGGGCCCAGTCATGGTAGTGTCCTGCCAGATTGTCCTGCCAGACTTGGTGCTCTGCTAAATTACTGTGCTCCATGGTCTGGGACCAAATGAGTGGCCCAGGTTCAATTCCTGCTCTAACCTTAAGACCAGGCATGGTGGGATATGCCTATAATCCCAGCAACTCAGGGAGGCTGAGGCCAGAGGATCACGTGCTCAAGGCTGGCCTAGACACAAAGCCAGACCTGGTCTGAAAAGCAGTGTGTTGGTTGTGTTACATAGAGTGGCCTGGGAAGGCATTCCTCAAAAAGCTCACTTAAGAAAGTGAGGGAATTAGCCATATGGGTATCTGAGGGAAGAGTGTTCCAGGTGGAGGAATAGCTCAATCAGAGGCCCTGGTAGACCTGGGGTGTGCAAGGAACAGTGTGGAACCCAGTGTGGCTAGAGAAGTAAGAGAGTAGAAGGGAATGAGGTTAATGAAGGGAGTCCTTATGTCTCAGAAGAAACAATTCACTTTGACCAATGGAAATGGAGTCATTAAAAGGTTTGAGCAGAGGAGGGGCATGATCTTATTTATGTTTTAGCAAGGCCACCGTCCTGAAATTAACAGATGGGGTATGGGCAAAGGGGGGCCAGTGAGGAGGCTACTGCAGTAGATCCAGGCAAGAGAGGAGGTGACGGTGACCTGGAGCAGGGCAATGGAGTTGGGGTGTGGGAAGACACTGGACCCTGGACATATTTTGATAGCTTTGGTAGGGTGGACAGACATGACTGCTGAACTTTTCTGGAGTGCAAGACAAAGGATATAAAAAGAATGTCATGAAGATTTTTGGCCTGAGCAGCCAAAAGAACAAAGTTAACATGAATTGAGAGGGCTCAGGAATTGAGAGCTTTATTTTGAATACATAAAGTTTAATATTAGATACAAGAGTGGAGATGTCGAGACGATATGTGTTTTTATGTTTAAGGCTTTTTTTGGTTGTTTTTGTTAGAATGAGACACACAGAGAGAGAAAGACTAGCACCACCAATAGGGTCTCACACCATGATCCTCACCCGTAGCCTTCCCAGCCAAGATCACAGGCTCATGCACCAACATGTATAGATTGGCTGGAGAACCGAACCCCCAGTCTTCTTGATCCAGTTTCACTTGAGTAGTGTGTCCCTTACCATTTGGCTCCTCTTAGCCTCAATTTTCTTTTTTTTTTTTTTTTTTGCTATAGGGCGTGTACACATGCTAGAAAGAAAGAAAGAGTCAGAGAGACATAAAGTGAGAAATCACCACCACCACCCCAGGGGGGATGGCCATGCCACAATCCCTTCTCCACCATTCTCCTCTCGGGATCTTGGACACGCATGCACATATGCCCGGTGTGAATTTAAGCCTCTGGGTCCAGGACTTGAACCATGATCGACTACATGGGAGTCGAGCGACTTAGCTATTACACTAACTGCTGATCCCAGCCACAATATTCTCATAGTGAAGTGAGAATGATGATAAATCCAGTTTTTATATGACTGTGGCGTGAGTTAAACAAGAGCTCTGAGGAGGTCTGTCTTTGAACGACAGACTGCTAAAGAACCTTGGAGAGACTGTGAAGGCTCTGTGGACTCGCAGGCTCCCACAGAACACTCTAGTCTATTTTGAACACATGTGCATTGCTCTTTTTCAAGTATGTATAGATTCATTCAAGATCTACTCATCAAACAACTGTAATGAGCACTAACAAATAAGCAGCATCTAGCACAAAAATAAATGAAACGGAACCAGCAGGTGGTGTAGGGTTTAAAGTGCTGAATTCCCACATGGTGGACTGTGCTATGAGTCCCAGACCTAGCAACTTGCAAAACTTGCCAGGCGCATGTGCTTGCACGCCCAAAATCCCAAAAGGAGACTTAAGAAGGGATTACGGCATGGCCATCCCCTCAAGGGGCTGATTTATCACTTTTTGTTACTTTCTCTCCCTCTGTCTGGTAAGAGCACTTACCCTGTGACCAAAACAAACAAACCAAAACCCTAAAATAAATAAGCAAGTAAATAAATGGCACACAAATATCCATGTGTTCATAGATCTTATATTCTAGTATGGGTAGGAAAATAATAATAATATACAAGTATACAAGATAAATAAGATAAATAAGAGACCTATAACTATTGAGAGTAAAAGGAAAGAAGGGGAATATAAAATATGAAAGAAGCGGTGTTGAAACTTTAGATTGGGTGGGCCCAGTCATGGTAGTGTCCTGCCAGATTGTCCTGCCAGACTTGGTGCTCTGCTAAATTACTGTGCTCCATGGTCTGGGACCAAATGAGTGGCCCAGGTTCAATTCCTGCTCTAACCTTAAGACCAGGCATGGTGGGATATGCCTATAATCCCAGCAACTCAGGGAGGCTGAGGCCAGAGGATCACGTGCTCAAGGCTGGCCTAGACACAAAGCCAGACCTGGTCTGAAAAGCAGTGTGTTGGTTGTGTTACATAGAGTGGCCTGGGAAGGCATTCCTCAAAAAGCTCACTTAAGAAAGTGAGGGAATTAGCCATATGGGTATCTGAGGGAAGAGTGTTCCAGGTGGAGGAATAGCTCAATCAGAGGCCCTGGTAGACCTGGGGTGTGCAAGGAACAGTGTGGAACCCAGTGTGGCTAGAGAAGTAAGAGAGTAGAAGGGAATGAGGTTAATGAAGGGAGTCCTTATGTCTCAGAAGAAACAATTCACTTTGACCAATGGAAATGGAGTCATTAAAAGGTTTGAGCAGAGGAGGGGCATGATCTTATTTATGTTTTAGCAAGGCCACCGTCCTGAAATTAACAGATGGGGTATGGGCAAAGGGGGGCCAGTGAGGAGGCTACTGCAGTAGATCCAGGCAAGAGAGGAGGTGACGGTGACCTGGAGCAGGGCAATGGAGTTGGGGTGTGGGAAGACACTGGACCCTGGACATATTTTGATAGCTTTGGTAGGGTGGACAGACATGACTGCTGAACTTTTCTGGAGTGCAAGACAAAGGATATAAAAAGAATGTCATGAAGATTTTTGGCCTGAGCAGCCAAAAGAACAAAGTTAACATGAATTGAGAGGGCTCAGGAATTGAGAGCTTTATTTTGAATACATAAAGTTTAATATTAGATACAAGAGTGGAGATGTCGAGACGATATGTGTTTTTATGTTTAAGGCTTTTTTTGGTTGTTTTTGTTAGAATGAGACACACAGAGAGAGAAAGACTAGCACCACCAATAGGGTCTCACACCATGATCCTCACCCGTAGCCTTCCCAGCCAAGATCACAGGCTCATGCACCAACATGTATAGATTGGCTGGAGAACCGAACCCCCAGTCTTCTTGATCCAGTTTCACTTGAGTAGTGTGTTACCACTGTGCCACTGAGTAGGCCCAAGAAGGCAAAATTTTGATGGGAAATATCCAAAACTGTTTTAAAATATTACTAAAATATTAAATATTAAAATATTAATAGTAGCTCTTTTTTGACCTGAAAGTAGTACTTTTATCATATTTGTTGGAGGAAGGGGTGTCCATAAAATATTTTGACCTTAAAATAGGACTTTGTGCTAGAAAAGGTTAGAAATGGAAGTAAGTTCAAACAAAAATTTTAGTGACTGATAAATATTATTTTCCTTTTCCTCTTCTATTCCTTCAAGACATATGGATATCAAAATTTGTCTTATTATACAGATTTTGAAATCTTAATTTTGGACTAGTGATTTTTCTTTTTATTTAACAAAGCTTTCAATGGAACTTTCTGGTAAGAAAAGCCCAATTGTGTTCACGGGCCCACATTATTGTATTTTGTAAGGGAAGTAAAACGTTTACTTCTATTTACTTATTTTCAGTACCTTTACGCTGACTTGCACATCACGTGGTGTTCTGTGGGATGACAAATGAAGTGAGAGACAGAGCTCTTTGAGTTACCAAATCTGGTGTGAGGCTGGCCAATGTATATACATGTATATAGCTCATGTAGAAATGCGACAGCTTCATTGTTTTTATAATTGCCTGAGCGCGTATGATTTACGGGCATCAATTCCTGACTGTCCGTTTCGACTCTGTCCTCCTCAGTCTTATGCAGGGAAATACGTGCCTGCCATTGCACACTACATCCACACCTTCAACCCCACGCAGGAGCAGAAGATCAACCTGAAAGGAATCGCTCTTGGAGATGCGTATTCCGATCCTGAGTCGGTAGGTGTCTCCTTTTCACTTTCCCTTTTATCCCACAAGGAGGTTAAAGCCCCTCTAATCAGATGGAAGACTCCTTCCTTAGACCTTAGAGGCCTGACTTGATGAAGGAAATACCAGTTGACTTTATGACTTAAATCTTCTAATTTTTACCAAATGTTTCAATGTATCAATTTACTAGGTCAGCCTACGTTGGTTGCCAGTGCAAGTCTATGTGTGTGTCTGTGCTATATGCAGGTTGTACGTGTTAATGTGTTTTGTGGTGTATTGTAAGTTTACGTTTTGTGTGTGTTTATGTCACATATGTTTTTGTGTTTTGTGTATGTGCGTGTTTATGTTTTGTATGTTGTATATGTTACGTATTTTGTGCGTGTTTGTGTGTTGATGTGTATGTGTGTGTATTTGTCTAGTTGGCTCATTCCAGCACAAGATCGACAATTACAAAGGATTATGTCACCAAGCAATGAGGCTTTCCTAACTTCTTTCTCTCTCGGTGGCATTCACATGTGTCTCTTTTGTCCTCAGATTATAGGGGGCTATGCGACATTCCTGTACCAGATCGGCTTGCTGGATGAGAACCAGAAAAAGTACTTCCAGAAGCAGTGCGATGAGTGCATAAAACACATCAAGAAGCAGAACTGGCTTAAGGCCTTTGAAGTGAGTGCTGAGGCCCTGGGCTGCCCGTGAGCAATTAAAACCATCTGAGGAGAAGAGGGGTCGTTAGAAGCACCATGGTGCTCAGGCATTTTTTTCTTTTGTTAGAGAAGGTGTATCTGTGATGCTCTCCGATTGGGAGGCAAATGAGTGTGTTCAAGATGAAGGAAAGAACTCCGTTTCCTTGAATTTACTTTGGCTGTGTTTTAAACCTGAGATCATCTTGGAGTGTTTATCTAACTGTGTCTTTCATTAGCTGTTTTGATTTCTCTAAGTGCTGCGTAGGCCCTCAGGCATATGCTATCATCTGGAAATCAGAAGAAAGGCAACCCAGGAAGTAGTTGCATATGCTTCGACATATGCCTTGACCACTAGAGGGTTAGACCCACAAGCAGCTGGAGATGTGGCCATAGTGTATAACAAATGTCATGTTTTCCTGCGTATCAGGGGCAAAAAGTATGTGAGGAGTCTTTGAAAAGTTTATAGTAAATATGTATTATGAAAAAGCTGCATGAGTTTAAAACATTTTTGCACCAAAATAAACTCATATGTTAATGCCATTTTTCACTATCTTTTAATTTTTTTTCCAGAGTTTTTTGCTGTAGGGAGCATGCACTTGCCAGAAAGACAGAGACAGACAGAGAGATAGAAAGGAAGAAATCACCCCCCCAGGAGGGATGGCCACACCGCAAAATCCCTTCTCCTCCATTCTCCTCTCAGGATCTTGGGCACTCACGCACACGCCCCTGGTATGAGTTTAAGCCACCGAGTCCGGGACTCAAACCGCGGTCAACTACATGGGAGTCCAGCGACATAGCCGTTATGCCATCTGCTGGTCCCTCTTTTTTTTTTTTTTAATTTTTTAAGAGAGATTCTTGTTATAGGGCACATGCGCTTGCCAGAAAGACAGAGAGAGACAGAGAGACAGAAAGCAAGAAATCACCCCCTAGTGGGAATGGGCATATTGTAATCTGCTCCCAGCATGAGTTTAAGCCACTGGATCTGGGACTTGAACCACTGTCCACTACATGGGAGACCAGTGATATAACCATTACACCATCTGCTGGCCCCATTCACTGTCTTTTTGAAGTCCCATTATAGAGTGTTGTAAGAGTTCACTAAATATTAGGATATAGGAAGTTGTTTTATTTTTTGGTCAGTGCCAACAAAGGCCATGTGTAAACGATATTCCTTAGAAGCTTTTTGCCACGTTTACGGTAGAGCCATGATGACACGTTAGTAAATGTGGAAAGAACTGCATTTCGAGAACATTAGTGTGTTTGTTATTAGACACACATCCTAGAGCAGTATATGTAATGTCATTGTTGTTATGAAGGCAGATCTCTGGTTCAGATCAAAATAGGAGATGTACAGACTTAGGGACAAAGGGAGTAACATAAAATTATTCCCTGTTTTGCAAATAGGGTGTCAGGACACACTGCATGAATCCCCCGAGCCTGTCACTGCCCTGGCTAGGAGTTCTGATAGCAGCAACTCGTGCAGATGGATCACGCAGAGGATGTCTCAGGCCATTCTGCAGGACACTGATGAGCTTTCTCTCCTGTGTGCTGGGACAGTATTTATGGCTACAAAGTGTGGATTCAGAATTTTGTGTGTAATTGTAAATGAGAAGGAAAAAGGATTTTGTAGGGAACTTGTAGGATCCTGCTTCACCTTGCAAAGATAGTGATTTCAAGACTAGTTTTAGGCTATCTGTCATGGTGGTCAGAGATGGGGAAAAGGAATGAGTCTTTAGAATTTACAGTTAATACAGCTTATATGTGGCATGAGACTTACGATATCTCTTTAAAGAAGCACACAGAGATTAAATAATGTCCAGAGCAAGAATATCCAAGAGGCCTCAAGGTATAAAGAAAGCAGAATGATGACTATGAACATGATGGAGTGGCCTAGACACCCATAGGTTAGAGAAGCTGTTGAAAAGTGAGGAATTTGGGACATTCGCAGATAATGAGAAGATGACTCATGAGGTTAAATAGAGTCACTCCCAAACCATATTCGTCAGAAAACAAAAACATCGACACTAAAACAAAAAGAAAACCAGATTCTTGAAAGTCTTTTTGACTATTGGTCCAGTGTCTTGAGTGATGACTTAAAACATAAAGACCTTTGCTTTTTCAAGGGAAATAGACAGAGTGATACTTAGGATAGTAAACAAGTGGTGTTTGATATGTGTTTCTAGACGGCACTGGAAGACACTAAGAAATCCCGAAACCCAAGAGAACACAAATGTCAAAGTCTCGCGCCTAAATGGTAAAGCAAGTTTGATGCTATGGCCCTTCAATATGACTTAGCTCATCAAAAAGCAGTGACTCAGAGCTGGAAGGGACTTTGTAACTAGATTGTCTACTGTACTTTCCCTTCACACACACACTTTACTATGAGGATGCTGAGGCCCATAGGTGTGCCATGAATTGCCAAAGGACACACAAATAGATTGTGGCAGGCCTAGGACTGGAATTATTTCTCCTGATTCCCACCCTGGTATTTCTTCTGTGGCAATCTATAAAATTCCTGGGACATCCTAGAGTTTCTGTAAGAGGCAAAATGACTGAGCTCTGGTCCTGTCATTTTTTTTCCCTGTGACAGTGTTCTGGGTCAGAGTTCTCTTTGCAAAGTAACTTTTGACAAGAAATTGGATTTCTTTCTTTCTTTTTCTTTAACGCATTATTTATTTAATTCTATTTGTTGTTATTATTTTTTTTAATTCGACCAAAGAGAGAGAGAGAAAGGGAAAGTGAGAAAGCAAGCTGCCAGGTCCAGGACTCAAGCCGTGGTTGGCCATGTAGTAATCCAGCACCTTTAACCACCACGCCACCTGCTGGTAAAAAACTGGATTTCACAGGGTTTGATCTCTTCTTGTTTGTTAGACAGCAAATGATGCTTGATTCTTCCTGAAACAAGTCTGTTCTTAAAAGTTGACTTTATATTCCCTTTGATGACAAAATTTTATTTAATTATTCATTTAATTTTATTTATTATTATTATTGAAATCAACCTGGGGGTGAAGGGGGGAGGAAGAGAGAAAACAAGCTGCCAGGTGCATAACTCGAACCACAGTCATCCATGTGGGAGTCCAATGCCTCAACTACCATGCACCTGCTGGCCCCTTGGTAAGATCATTTCTAACGATAAATTCCAAAATAATGTGTGCATCCAGGACAACTACTGGCATATGCTTTGTCCCTGAATGGACAGTTTAGGAAAAGATGCCTCCCCTGGGCTGACATAGTCAGCTTAGGGCAAGCAGTTGCCTCCATCCTGTGAGGATGAAAGATGGCCAGGTCCTCACATGCAGCCCTCAGCCAGGGTATGAGCTTGTCAAACAGAGGTTGGCTGGTTCCTGCCCCTCTCACTCCTCAGCCACATACAGCAGTCCTTACAACCAGACCTAGGGAGCCCAAACAATGGTAGGTTTGCTAAAGTGTACCCGCTGCCACCTGCTTAACTTCCATAGCGGTGATCCTTTACGTCCTCGCCCCCTAACCCGGTGACAGTATTAGCTTGGCTAACTTACATTATTCCATGTCTGGAAATAAATAAATAAGTAATGCAGTTTATATTCAACCCCAAAGTGTGGCCAGAAGGTATGGAGGATGAAGAGACACTGTATGTGTGTTTGAGTGTGTAGGCTGAAGTGTCATGGCCTGCATTTGAATTTCACCTTTGATATTATTAGTGAGTGTCCTTGACCAATTCTTTAAACTCTGTGTATCTCGGTTTCCTGATCTGTAAAAGTGGGATAACATCTTACCTTGTAAGAAACTTAAATTCATAGATGATTTTATTAATGTGCTGAACTCATTTCTTAAAATCCTTTCACAAGAACCTCTTACATCTTAATATCATAAACAAGCCCTCTATGTCACAGTCTCTTCTGTGACTGTTGTCTTCTCTTCATCTTCTTGCTTCACCCAAAACCTGGCCCTTTTCTGGTGATGCTGCCTCTGCTGTAACCCACTGAAGTGGGGGGCTGTTCTCTTGCATATACCTTCTTACCCACTTGGTTCCAAGGTGGAGAAGATGTCCTCCTTGCACCTCATTCTGTTTGCAGATCATGTGCTTGCCTCCTCCTAAAGTGCTGAGCTTTGGCTCTCATGTTTTCAGATAGTACCACCTTCCACGTCTTACCATGGTCGTCTCCCACCATAGGGTTATACCTTCTCGTTCTCTGAGTAGTGTGGGTCCTGCCCCGCTTTCATTCTCGCCAGCATTGTCTTGTCAATTCCCAGTGACTACAGTATCCACGTGATGATCCTTTTAACCTTGGCCCTTCAGTGTCGTAGCTTCTTGTTTTCAATGATCTTGCTCTTCTTGTCCTAGCAAAGCCAGCTACTACTCCACAATCTCAAATTCATACATCTTTCTGCAACTACCATCTCCCATCTTTCCAGTTGATTTCTGCTAATATATCACCTCTAACAGTCTTGCAAACCCATTGCCTTTCGATTCATTGATTCTACTACCTCTCAGTCAACTCTGACCTCCTCAAGTCTTCATTTCTGTAACTACCCTACTTAAACCCCAGGTCAGCCATTACATACATTCTCAACCCCCAAGCCCTTTTAACACTTCCTCCAAATTCTTTTGCTAAACCACAGCCACCTCCCTACCACTCCACGTGGCCTCCGTACAACGGAACATGAATGAAAAACAGCACACACTGCTGCCTGCTGTCCCCCTCAGTTGCTGACCAGGTCTTTTTATGTCAGCAGTCCAAAGATCACTTCCGTAGCTCCAAGAATCTATACCTATGCCAATATCTCTGTCTTCTCTTTCCTCTTTTCTTCTCTTCTCTTTCCTCTGCCCTCCCCTCCCCTCCCCTCTCCCCTCCTTTCCCCTCCTCTTCTTCTATTCTTCTCTTCTCCTCTAACTGTGGGTGGGTGGTTCATGTTCACATTAAGGCAACCCTTTCCAGAAGGCTCTCTGCCATTGTCAAGGCATCTGGACTTGCTGTTTTTTCTGCCCAGAATGCTCTTCCCCAAGATAACCAAATGGCTTGCATCCACCCTTCTAACGTATCTTTGTTGAGATGCCACTTTCTAAGGGAAACCCTCTGGGGGCTCCTCTCTGCAGTAGCCCATGCATTCATGGACACATGCACCCATGACATTTCCCACCCTTATCTTTAGTTTTCACTTTATCACTGTTTAACATGCAGAGAATTTATCACACTCCACCATAGTACATATTTGTTTCTCATCCCCTCTAGAATATGAGGGAGGACTTCTCAGCTGTCTTGTCCCTGCTGTTTACCCAGTGCCTAGGACCAAGTCTGGTGCAGAGATGTGTGCAACAGGACCATGTCTGGTACAGCAAATGGTTACTGGGCAAAATGAAAAAAATGGAAAGGTTACGGGATTAATGAAATGACAGATGCCTGTGATTTTCATCCATTCTGAGATTTGGCTTTCTTCTTTCTCCCTCTCTCCCGACCTAGGTATTGGATAATCTTCTAGATGGCGACTTAACGAGTGATCCTTCTTATTTCCAGAATGTTACAGGATGCGTTAACTACTATAACTTTTTACAGTGCACGGTAATGACAGCATTTTAAAAACCGTAATCATGTTTGCTTAAAAGTCTGAGGAAAAAAACAAACTACCTTTGATTTGGGAAAAAATACAGATGACTTTATACTAAACAAATATGTCCACCTGTTTTGTATTATTTGGTCTACTCACCTATAGGATTTTTCCCCTCTAATATTGTATGCATTATAATCTGACCATGGACAATTGTGATATTCAGTAACTCGAAAGGGATTTCTGATTAACACACTTTCTCCACAATAGAGCTCATTATACAGAGGTCCTTTTGTGAAGGACACAGGCTGGGGTTGGAGTTCTGGGCAGAAGGTCCCAGAGCTTCAAATCTGTTTATAAGTCTCTTGAAAATGCTCACATTCTTTATTCTGTACTTAAGACAGCTTGGATAATCAAATCTGCCAAAGCCTTTATGAAAATATTTGCTTTGTCTTACTTTTAACTTAAGATGTTAGGCATTTAGTATGGCCTTCACTTCAAACCCTCTGGAATATTTCTCCAAGTATTCAAGTAGTTTCTTTCAGAAAAGTAGGCCAAAGTTGATGTCTTTTGTGTAGAATTAATTAAATAACAGAAGGAGAGCCACAGTGGGGGAGTGGATTTATATAATCTTGTCTAGTATATATGACAATGTTTTAAAAATTGCCTTATTTATGAACAAACTAAAGTTAATAAATTAACTAACTAAAGTTAATTTTGGTGGAATTCATGAATCCCATGGTTATTGATTTAGAGTTTACCAAGAGAAAAACATATGGCATACGAGAGAAAAGCAAAGTTCGTGATGACAGTTTTTGATTTTTAAAAAGTAATATAGTCACAGTTAACAACAACAAAAAATGTCGATGAAGCACAAAATTGTCAAGCTCAAACCCTAATGGTTTTTTAAAATCCTTTTGTCATTTAAGGTTTTTCTTTTAAAGCATTTACCTCCTTTTTCTTTTAGTATAATGATTATTACAAAGACTTTCTGGCCATTTTTTTGTTTTATTTTTTAAAAATAAGGCTCATGGACCACTTTTCTTTTGTCTTGTGTCGTTCCTGCAGTACATACACCTGTTTTTACATTTGATAAGTATATATCTGATAAATATTCAACTGATATTTTTGTAGGCGGGTTTTATAAATAGCAGAACATAAAAAATAAATCCTCAGCTTTTCATCCACCGGGCTGTCACCCTGGCCCCTTGCGATCCATCTGACCCTCTTTATGTAGAGCTACCGAGGAGAAGCACCAAAATATCATTCCTTTCGTTCCCCCTATTTTTGCCTCTAGTGGGGCTGCTAATTAAAATCACAGATTGGAAAAGATTTCTTTCCAAAAAGGTAAATTCAGCATTTGTAAATTGTACATTTACCTCCAGGCAAATACCATCCAGATTTATTGTTAGTACAAAGGACCCCACTCAAATAACCTCAGAACCTCCAAGTTATAAATGGAAGCATGGAGACAAGTTAAGGACCATGGCCCATCGTGTTCACTGCATTCTGTGTGATGAGAAATGCACAGCTTTTCCTAGCGTGCTGTTCCTGCCACCAAGTCACGTTCCCTAATATATTTCCAATGCATCCTTCTGCCAGGACCCCGAGGACCAAGTTTACTATGGGAAATTTTTGTCGCTCCCAGAAGTGAGACAAGCCATCCATGTGGGAAACCACACTTTTAACGATGGATCTGAAGTGGAAAAGTACTTGCGAGAAGACACAGTACAGTCGGTAAAACCATGGTTAACTGAGATCATGAATAACTATAAGGTAAGAAGAAACTTTGCAGAGCAGAAGTGACTGTACGTGTACTTTGACACTGTTCTTTCACTCCTTGTATGGTATTTCGCGTATACAAATGACAACCTTTTCTTTGATTGTCTTTGAATTAAGCATTTTATTTTTTTCCCTTTTAATTAAACCACTTGCCTTGACTCTTCCTACAAAGGAAATTCCCTTTGACACATGACATGTCTCATCCTTTCTTGAGAAAAGATGGATAATGGAGCAGAAAAGATGACTGGTCTTGTGGAAGAACCAGTTTTCCCTCACTGTTTATTTTATAATATGAATCCAGTGGAGTCAGGGATAAATAAAATCAACTAGTTGTTCCAAAATTTCATTTGGCCCAGAAATTGTATTCATTTCCTTTGCTCAGCTGCAGTTGTCCGTATCTGCTTGAAGGCAAACACTGCTAGGCTGTGGGGTTGAAATGATGAATGAGAAAGGGGCCCTGTTTTGAGGCTTGTCAAGTCACGCACTGTGTCTGGTTTAGATGTTCTGCCTAAAGGACCAGGCAAAGGAGCCATGGACCCTAGAACTCTCCCTGTGAAAGAGGACAACCAGAGAAGTGACATGAACAAAGTCATCCTATGTGTTCTTTCTTTCCCGTTATCTCTCTCACTGATCCCCCAGGGCTGTTACTAGCTTTCCTAGGGGTGATGTTTGGTACAACTAGTTGATTTTATTTATCCCTGACTCCACTGGATTCATATTATAAAATAAACAGTGAGGGAAAACTGGTTCTTCCACAAGACCAGTCATCTTTTTTGGAGGACAAGTGCTGATGGTAGAGGGACCCGCCACCTGAGGGTCCACTTCTTCCCTATATCCTGGCACAGGCTAGAATAATGTTTGAGTGAATAAGAATCAGGGTACCCGGTAGCCCATAAGGCACCTTTGCAAGAAGCAGACAAAAGACCTCCTCTTCTCAAGATACTGTATTTCCATCTACCAGAAATTGTCCAGTATATCACTTTTGTTAGACCCTGACTATTTACCGCCGGTTGCTGGCATAAGAAATATATAATTCTATGATGCCTATTCTAGGAATGGTGTCCCTTAGGATTTTGTTCATTGCACAATCTACACTATTGTCCAGAGTCACTGACCCAATGAACACTTATTAGACTGTTTCAGAATGTGCCGTACCTGGAAGGCCCACTTTCCATTCTTCTCCCTGGTACTCAGAGTTTGGCAGGTGACCCTTGTTGAAAGTAGTCTAAGGCCAATGGCATACAGAGTCTACAAGCCCATTGTTAGCCTACAGAACTTGATGAAGTACTTTCTAGGACAGAAAGGCTCTAGCTAGATCAGGCTTGCATTTCAGCCATTGTGTTTGGTTCTGTTGGGGAAATGTACTGGCTTTGAGCCTTCTCTGAGCATATCCGTCACTGCTGCCTATCTTCTCTGAGCCCTCGGAGGCATCCTGTCTCCTCCTTGGTTACACTGAGCTCACTGTGTTGTTGCCATCTGGGCTCTTAGTCTGATATCAGTACCAATACCACCCTGAGGCTGATGTCAGTGATGAATGAATGAAATACCAAAAATATATCTAACAAACCTGTTCAGATTCCATTAGGTGTTTGTCATCACAATTTTATTTAAGCCAAAAAGAACATAGCACTCATATTTTCAAGACATGAACAGTGTGTTATAATATAACATGAAGAAATATGAAGTGGGACCAGCTCCATGGTCCGATGGTTAGGCACCCGGATTCCATGTGACCAACCCTGTTGTTCAAGTTCTGGGTCTGGCGGCTTGAGAAATATGCCAGGCACATGTGCAGGTGTGTACAAAATCTCACAAGGAGAGAAAAATGGAGAAGAAATTGTGGAATGAGCATTCCCCATGAGGGGTGCTTTCTCTCGTTCCCTCTGTTTCTCTGTCTCTCTCTGGCGAGTACACATGCCCTCTGGCAAAATTTTAAAAATAGTAAAAAAGAAACAAGTTTTTTAGGGGGGTTGGGGAGGGGACCGGAGGAAGTTCCCATGTACTGTCCACGTACATTTGTGCCCTGGTAAGATATATTTTATGATTTTATAAATCTAACTAGAAATAAGATTCCTTTCTTAACCACATGAGAATACAGTGCAGCGTATAGCTTTCCTGAAGATGAAATCTCTCTTCGTGTTGGCTATTTCCATGACACTCACTGGACTGATAGAGACTATGTCGATTAGAGGCGAGCTCTGTCCCTGTTGCCCATGTGTCTTAAACCTACTGTGTTAGTCTGTTCAGGCTGTAGTAACAGAGTACAGTTGGTCCTTCATGTCTGTGAGTTCTGTCTGAAAATTCAACCAAGGACAACTGGAAAATGTTGTTGCCAGTGTGTGCTATGTAGTTAGGCCTTTGATGGTTATGTCTGTATTGGACATGTATAGAGTTATTTTCTTATCATTATTCCATAAACAGCACAGCATAATGCTATTTACATAGCATTTACGTAATATTCGGTATTATAAGCAATTGAGAGATGAGTTAAAGTGTATGGGAAGATGTGCATAGGTTATAGCAAGTACTGCATGGTTTTATATAAGGCACTTAAAGATGGGGGAGGTGGGGGTGGCTAGAACCAGTCCCCCATGGATGTAATCCTGAAGGATAACCATACCTTACACTGAGTAATTTATAAGCAGTAGAAATCGATTGCTCATAGTTCTGGAAGTTGGGAAAGTTGAAGATGAGATAGCAGCAGATTTGGTGACTGGTGAGCATTTGCTCTCGGCTTCATAGACAGCACTTTCTTACAGCTTTCTATTAAAGCAGAAGCAGAGAACAAGCTCCCTTGGCCTCTTTTATAAGGGTACTGATCCCATTCATGAGGGCTCTTCCCTATTGATTTAATCATTTCCCAAAAGGCCCCACCTCTTAATACTGTCACACTGGGAATTATGTTTGAACAAATAAATTCTGGGGAGGAGGACACAAGCATTCAGGCCATAGCACCTGCCAATATAAATTTCAGTGAAATCAGAATATTTTCTATACTTCCAACTCTGAGTTATTTGTTAAAAGAAAACAGCTTAGAAGTGCAGATAAACCATGAAGAAAGAGAACAAAGTTTTCAGTCAGTCTGAATGCAGATGAAAAACTGGCTGCTGCTAAAGCAGACTGCATATTCCTTGATACAGCTGGCATAGCCCTCAGGACAGCAATTATCTTTGGCTTGTCGGTTAATGATGGTAAACCTCAATGTATATGTAATAGGATCAGAGCAGCATTGGTTGGTTTAAAGCATTAGTACTCTTAAAGTTACATTTATGTATGACTCATTGCTAATTTGTCATAGAAAACAGCATGCCTGTTTCAACTCATAGAAGTCTTTTTTTCAATACTGGATTTATTTTAGTCAGCATGGAGTATTGCTGATGGGCTAAGAGGGACCTTCATGGGTTTCCGGGATTATGTTTTCATGTACTTCATTTGTAAACATTAGTTTCTGTATAAACTACATGAAAACACAATCCTTTCCTTGTAATAATCTGCAGGAGATGTGTTATCAAAATAATTTTCTTTGTAGTAATTTCAGATGTTCGGATGGTAAATTGAAATATCATAGGGGCCAGTTGGTAGCATAGAGGTAATGCGTCCGGACCTACATGGGAAAGGTTTTAAGTTCAAATCACAGGACATCTGTAAACATTCTGGACATGTGTGTGTACCAATTATTTGGGCCTTGTAAGACTAGGGGTAGATCACAGCATGAAGACCCTACAGAAGGTGTCTGTTTCTCTTTCGTGGAAGAAATAAATGAACTTAAAAGAGAAATCATGTAGGCAATTTCTAATGAGAAAAAAGTATGTTGGACTATTTGAATTCTTTTTTTTTTCCCTTAGTTTTTTACAATTTTATTAACAAAACCCAGAGAACAGGGAGGCAAAGGTGAGTAGACTCCAAAATAAAAAATAGAGACAAGGACCAGCAGTTAGTGTAATGGCTATGTCGCTGGACTCCCACGTAGTCGACCACGGTTCGCGTCCCGGACCCGGTGCTTAAACTCCTGCTGGGCGCATGTGTGTGTGCCCAAGATCCTGAGAGGAGAATGGAGGGGGAGGGATTGCAGTGCGGCCATTCCCTCTGTGGGGTGATTTCTCGCTTTCTGTCTCTCTGTCTGTCTCTGTCTGTCTGGCGAGCGCATGCACTCTATAGTGAAAACCTCTCCCCCCCAAAAAATAGAGACAGAGGGATAGACGTGGGGGACATTCTGAGGCCTTTTGGTAAGGGCAGAAGGGCACTCAGATGGTGGGTGAGCACAGGGAGAAGCTAGGAAAGGAGCTGAATGGAAGAACAAACAAATGGGGAGTTGAGGGCAGCTCCCCCACCTGGAATTCAGAGTGTGAGGTTGTCCGGGCCAGGAATCTCAGCACAGCCAGCCCTACAGCACAGGTCGGAGTGAGTGGGTCATGCTGGGTTGTTTGGTGCAGCACTGGGGCCCGTCGTCCTGCCTGGTTTGTCATGGCCGTGTGTACGCTGTGCTCCTGCGCAAACTGCCCATCGAGTTTGTACCCCCTATGCACGTGTTCCAAATTCACTCAGCACACTGAGGCTTCTTCACGATGAAATCTGATCAGAATAGTATAAGAGTATTTTGGAGTCAGCTAGGTAATGGAACATGGTAGCTGTGTACCTGTACTTTAGTCAAATATTCTGAGTTTGACTCTATTCTTTCTGGGGAGGATACTTAAATTTTGTGTGCTTCTGCATCCTTACCTATAAATGGAAATACAAATACTACTTATGTGTGATTTCTTTTGAGGTTTAAAAAGATACCCACATAAAACACTTAGAACAGTTGCCTGGTAGTTAGAAAGCACTTATAAATATTAGCTGTTGGGGCCAGTGGGTGGTGTGGTGGTTAAAGGCACTGGTCTCCAACATGGCTGACCACAGTTCAAGTCCTGGACCTGGAGGCTTGCTCTCTCTTTCTTTCTCTCTCTGATCAAACTAGAAAATAATAATAACAATAAATAAAGTTAAATAAAGTA